GTAGCTTGAACCTGTTCCCTGCCTGCCTCCTGGACAGTTCTATCTTATGTCTGTGTATGTGCCTCCAGTTAAAGTGCCCCAAACCACATTAGACAGTTTCTTCTGATTCTCAGCATTGATTCTCCTCTGGTCATCGTTGTCTAAGCTCTTGTCACTGCCATCTAGGCAGCAAACTAAAAGTAAGCAACTTCTCACTTAACTTCTTCACCCAGTCTCCAAGTCGCAGAGAACCTATCTGCTAGAAATCCGGATGTGGCCTTCCCTTTCAGTTACACTGATTTTATAAGCTTCTCCTCATCTCGTGTTTAGATTACTCTAATAGTTTCCAATGTGAGTTCCTATGGAATCTTTTTCACCTCCCTCTCATCACACACACGAACACATGGACACACAGACACACACATCTCTCTCTCTTGCAATACGGTTATAACTGTACATTATTAGGTAAATACTGGCAGTCACATTATCAAACAGTTTTAAACACCATTTACAGATAATACATCAAGTACTATTAGTGCTTTCATTTTCTTTTTTGTTTCCCTTGAAGTGAATATTTTAGGTGCTTTCATTTGTTTAATATTCTACAGATTTCTCTGATGTAATCTCTTGCCCATTTGTATAGATCTCCTCTCGGTCGATACAGCTGTAGCTCTGTGATGTTAGCTGGTGTTCTAAAAATGTTATCTTCTTTAAGAAGTCTTTCCAAGAAATTTATGATCCGCTCCAGCGTTGATAGGATGACCTCTCACTTTGCTGAAAATTTAACATCTTTTGATCCCCCTTCACCATCTCTCTGGGGTTCTCTTCATGCCTTATCTATGTTAAGTCCCCTATGGAGAAGGGCCATGGAGTCCCAGAGAACAAGCTAGTCCTGTGGTCTCATTGTAAGGCATTTTCCCCTGAGTTGTACCCCAGCTCTTAGTAAGGCCCATTTTGAAATTTCAGCTAAGATAAGATCAAGCAAAGGAGTGATCTTTTCATGGTGATAAAGGTGGAGGTACATATTCATGAAGAGCAGAGTCGAGTCTTCAGGTCCACACATGGAGAAAAAAGCCATGTAGAACCAAGCACATGCAAGCAAATGAAAGAAAAAGACACCACTTCCATGACCTCTTGGATCCAGTCAAATCTGAAGCAAAATGCAGCCCTGGACTTGCCAGTTAAATAAACATTTTTGTTTGTCTCAAGTTCATTTCACTTACAATGAGAAGTAATTATTTTTTATAATGAAAAAGTTTTTAATTAATATATGTCACTACTGTGCATTGTACAAACTTCTATGGCAGTACTTACTCCCTTTTGTCTGCATAGCATTGTGAAATTAATTTTACGTTAATAAAGATCTGTGTTTAAATCTTGGCTCTGCCATAGTTGCTAGGACTTTGGCAAAATGTTTTCAACCTCAGCTTTGGTTTCTTCAAATGTGAAACAGAAATACTTGTCTCAGTCATGAAGATTATTAAGGATAAGTTAATGAAAGAGTTTAGTACTGTGGCTAGCACCAGTTATTTATAAACTATACAATTACTAGTTTCTTTTCTTACTTTGATTAGAATGAGAGAACCGAGGGGCAGGATCTGCATCTTATTCCTTTCTGTTCTCAGAGTACCTTGCAACTTAAATCCACTAAGACCATCATCTACCCTAGAGAGAACAGGGCTGTGAAGGAAAAGTAAGCAGCATGGCTTACTGCTTAGATTTGCAGAGCATTTACATCCTCATAATCATGTAAACACTGAATATTAATCTAATTTTAAAAATTAACTTTACTGGGAAGATGAACACATTAGGGAGTATGTTTGTGGTGGTGGAAGGTGAAAATTGACTAGATTTAATTCCCCAAATGTTAAGTCAATTGACGAGGCATACTACTGAAAAATCAAGAAACAACTGCATGTTATTTAGAAATATAAAGACCAAAACACAAAAGAAGACACAGAAATGAAGATAGACCTGTTAATAGCAGTATGAATAAAAAGTAAATAAGGTTGACTCCGCACCCTCTTGGAATTTACATAGTAAATGAAGGCACCCAGGTAAACTCATTGTATTTAAATGGAAGAATGTAAGTGAGTAAGACGCTTTAGCAGCTTTCTGAGAAGGCCCTCTAGGTTCTGGGAGTAGAGACAGGAGAAGAGATGAGAGCAGATGTTCTATCAGAAATGATAGCAGGAAAAGTCTTAGAGAGTAAGTGGTACCCAACTGAAGAACAAGGGAGAAGGCGTTTCAGGCAGATGAACTGATATAAAGCCAAGAAATCATCAGAACGTGTGAGAGGAATTTCAGGCTCTTCGGTATTACTAGAGAGTAAAATTCAAGAAGTAGACCTTTGGAAGGAAGGCCGTGGACACCAAAAGTTGGGGAATAGACCCTGAAAGTCTTTCTGTAATAGGCTGAGGGGTTTGCACCTGTCTTGAGAGAGAAGCTGAAAGGTTTTAAACAAGGGCATGTTGCATTTTCACAAGTAATGCTATATAAAATGTGTGAAGAATAGATTTCCAGGGAAGATAGATGTGGTAGGCAGAATTCTAGAATGCGATCCCTTCCCAGATGACTTTTTCCCTTGTATCATCCCCTCTTACTTGAGTGTGTATATAGTGATCTACCGCTCTCGGGGTTTTGCTGTTTTACGTAATACAGTTGACCTTAAATTAGGGAGATTTTCAGAGCAGGCCCAACCTAATCATGAGCATTTTAAAAGCAGAGAGTTTTTCTCAAGCTAGTGATGAAACGGGAGGTCATAGAGACTTGACGTGCTATTTACTGCTGGATTGAAGACAAGAGGGCCTCATGATGAGGAATGCAGGCAGCTCCTCGAAGCTGAGTCACCCCCAGCTGACAGCCAGCAAGGAAATCGAGCTCTCAATTCTGCAACCACAGGGACTGAATTCTTCCAACAACCTCAGTGAGTTTGGAAACAGATTTTTCCCCAGAGCCCCCAGAAGGGAATGCAGCCCACACCCTCATTTCGACCTGCGCAAAGAATCCAGCCATGCCATTCCATACCAGACTTCTAACTTACAGAACTATGCCTAATAGGTGGGCATTATTTTCAGCCACTAAATTTATGAATTTATTACACATCGATTAAAAAAAAGCATTTCTAATATGTGATGGTAGGACTCCAGGTTAAGGATAGAAAGCATTTCAGACTTGAGGTAAGAGAGCTTTATCAAAGGCAGTACCATAAAGGGGAAGGATCAGAAACCTGGGATTTTAAGGAGATAGAGTCATGTGGACATTGAAGATCGGATGCTAATGGTTAGTGAGGAGGAGCCCAGAATGACAACCATTTATAGATTAGCTAATGAGGTAGAGGGTGGTGCCATTAACTTAGTAAAGGATGACAGGAGGAGAAACAGTTCTGGGACCACAAGGAGTTGCTGAGTTCAATTTGAAGGGGGCTGTCTAGCAAACAGTTAGGTACAGAATTGTGAACTTAGGAAAGAGGACCATGCTATGGCTACAGATAAGTATAAAGACAAAGGGGAACAAATACCAGCTCAGCACTTACCATCTGCCAAGCAGTGCTCTAAGTGCTCTAGAGGTTTCTAATCCTCAAAACACTCTTAGGAATTAGGAACTATTATTAAACTCATAATGTGTATGAGGCAAAATGCTCAGAGAGATCAAGTAACTTGTTCAAGATCACATTTGTAGTAAGTGGAAGAATTTAAAATCAAGCTCAGTCAGTCTGCCTCCAGAGCTCAAGCTCTTAACATTTCTTTGTTATACTTCTCTATACATGTGAGAGGTACCAAAAGATGGGTGGTATTAAAGCTATGACGTATGCTTTATCAGTCACAGAAAAATATAAAAAAAATCTTGGAAATGGCAAATGATGCTGCCCTCAGCACTCCTTTTTTAGAATCGAGCATGAGCTCTGGGGGATAACTAGGAACATGGTGGAGGCTACTCCCTCCCAGTACAGAAGATTGTAAATTCTTGGTGGGAACTGATCCTTGGAGAAGAATATTGAGTCCCAAAGGTATCAATATCAACTTATTGACAAAGGATGCAAACATTGGCCCAGTAATTTCTTCCCTGAGGGGCCCAGTCAAACTTTGATCTTAAATGAGGCTCATTTCCAAGCTTCCAAACAAGTTGCTGAGCTCCGCGGAGAATAAGATGCATTCACACTATTAGCCAGCTGATGGTTTGGAGAAGCAAAGTTGATGCATTTACCTTGCTTTGAAGACATTATATGCAAATCCACAAACAGAAGGGATGTTGCCTCCTCCATTGTCAGAACCTTTGTCTCCTTCAGGACGGTGAAGGGAAAAGAACGCTTTAGGTCTGGTGGAAGTGAGGTCTCCGTGTAGAAGGAAATTGGGCAACTGCGTCTTCTCTGTTCTGATGTTTTCATTCCCACTGCTGCAGCAGTGGAGAGATGTGGGGAGGCCACCTGCCCTTCTGAAACAATTCATTGTGATTTTGAGGTGAAACTGGATAAAAGGGATGGGTAGGAGGAATGCAGGATCATAGGGGACACTCCCAGCACTTTCATTAAGCCAGGACCTGAGTTTCTGAAAGGTATGAGGGAAACAGTGGGTTGAGCAGTGGGCACAGTGGGGTCACAATGACCTCTTTGTCTCAAGCTTCAGGAATTTCGACAGAAAGGAGTCCAAGTACCACTCTGGGCTTCCTTCTTGCTATATGACCTGGGTCAGCCTACTTGTATCTTCAAGATACTGTTTCCTTATCTCGCAAATGTGGACATCACTTTGGGCCCCTGCTGAAAGATTTTATCCTTCATTGTGTCATCCTAAGGTAGGTGAGAACTTGCAGCTGAGATTTGAAAACGTGGGAGGGAAGGACAGATGAGAGAAGAAAGTTAAAAGATAGGAAGTCATCGATCTGGCTCTTCTTCCAGAGCGCCGTCCCAACAGTCACACTTGAGCCCCCGTGGAACAGGCCCTCAGTCTAGGAACAAAGGATCTGAGTCCCTTCCTAATGTGACATTCTTCTCTCATTTCCTCACAGATCACACCCCTGAGATAATGGCTATGAAAAATGACTCTTCAGTAACTGAGTTCATCCTAGTAGGATTTACAGACCATGCGCAACTCCAGTTTCCCCTCTTCTTCCTCTTCTTATTGAATTATACAGTCACAGTGGTGGGGAATTTGATCCTAATTAACCTAATATGCCTGAACTCTCACCTTCACACTCCAATGTATTTTTTCATCTTCAACCTGTCCTTCATAGATCTCTGCCACTCCTTGGTCATCACCCCTAAACTGCTGATGAGCTTTGTGTCAGAGAAGAACATCATCTCCTTTGCAGGTTGTATGACTCAGCTGTTTTTTTTCTGTTTCTTTGTCCATTCTGAGTGCTACGTGTTGACAGCCATGGCCTATGATCGCTATGTGGCCATCTGTAAGCCCCTGCGGTACACGGTCACTGTGTCCCCTCAGGTCTGTTCTCTGCTCATGTCTGGTTCGTATGTGATGGGGTTTGCTGGTGCCGTGGTCCACACAGGGGACATGATCAGATTGTTCTTCTGTGATTCCAACATCATCAGCCATTACATGTGTGACATCTTCCCCCTCCTGCAGCTGTCCTGCAGCAGCACCTATGCCAGTGAGCTGGTAGAATCCATTATTGTGAGCACAGTTGTCATAATATGTAGCTTCATTATTTTTGTTTCTTATGTTTTCATCCTCTCCAATATCCTCCACATGTCATCAGCTCAGGGTTGGTCCAAAGCCTTCAGTACGTGTGGCTCCCACATAATAACTGTGGCCCTCTTCTATGGTTCTGGGTTATTCACTCACCTCAGGACCTCTTCTGATGGTTCCGTGGGCCACGGGAAGTTCTTCTCAGTGTTTTATACCAATATAGTACCCATGTTGAACCCCTTCATCTACAGTCTAAGGAACAAGGATGTCAAACTTGCTCTGAAGAAAACCCTGAAGAGAATTATAAACTAAGCAGGATTGTTGGGGGGTGTGTGTTGTGTCTGTATGTTTGTGTATGTGTGAGTGTATTTTCCTGAAATTTTCTTCAGAATAAAGTTTTTGCTTTAGGTGCTTTTTTCTCTCGAAGCATGCCACTTAAACATGCGAAAGTTATTGAATCTCATGGTTCTTCTTGGTTCCATGCTTACTCACTGAACTGAACTTTATTCTTAACAGCAGCATTCTCAACTGAACTTTGTTCTTAACAGAACTTTATTCCTACTCCTTTTAACACCACCTCCCACTTTGCCTCTTTCATGTACTTTTCATACATCAGCGTGCATGTGGGATCCGGTCTGAAGAGGGCACCCCTCTTTGTTTTCCCTAAAAGCAGTCTTAATATGGCCCTTTCTGTTTTTAAGCATTTGAGGAATTTCTACTGTGTAAGTTACAAATTTTCTAGAATTTCAGCGTTCTTTTAGTTATGGTTTCTATAGTACTGCATTTCCTAACTCAACAAAGCTTCAGTAGTATCTGTGAGATGCTTATGCTTAGTCAACAGGGATCACAAATATTTAAGGCTAAGTATGAGATATATTAATACCAACTAGGAACTGAGAGGAATACACTTAGTTAATTTAAACTAATTTTGCCTGACGTTATATAGCATCAGGAATATGACGTAATATATGTGTATGTATATATGTGTGTGTGTGTGTGTGTGTATGTCTGTATATCAGACTATCATAATTTTGTTTACATCTCTGCTTAATCAAATAAATTTGACCACCTAGTGTTCACTTCTTTTTTCTCCTATGCATAGTCAGTCTCCGACTGGAATCTGGCAAAATAAATATTCATGAAATTAATAGCTTGAGCTGTTTGGTATGAGTTTTTCTCTAAAGCAAACTGAAAGTTGATATAATTAAAAACTTTCACTTTCTTTCAGAAAATAAGTTTTCTTAAAATTCATGGATTTAAATCTTTGAGACTGAAAAATAGAGTTGGTTTGATACCATTGAAAGACATGCCATTCTTTCTTCAGTTGGAAGTACAACCTTCTGCATTTCTGATAAGGCAGGTCTAGTGGTGGTGGGGTCGCCCAGCTTTTGCTTTTTTCTGAGTCTATTGTAACATAGGCATCTTTTAAACTGGCTAATGTTTTGAGTATCCAGCACTACTGTTTGCAAAATAACACGTTCCTCCTGAAAAACTTGGATCTCCTTTGAGAAAAAAAAAGGAACTGTTATGTTTGGTTACAACATAAATTAAGAAAAGCATGCAGTTTTACCTTCAGAAACTAAAATGAAATAGAGATGTGTTGTACTGCTTATTATGTACATGAAATTAAAACCTGTCTCCAAAATGTAACCTATGCCTGTCAGTAGAAGATAATAAAATCAAGTAACTAAATTAGCTGTGCATGCAGAGTGATTATGGCATTTTTAGAACACAAAAATTCATTATAGTAGGTAAAATCTTGTTTCTTGGGGTGGCAGCAGAGACATAGGAGAGATGTCCCTGCTATTGTGCAGTCGTGCTGGACTTGAACCAGTAAAAACAGACTGCATTTCAGTTTCCTCACTAGGACTGACAGTTGCTTTGCCCTAAACTTTAGGCTCCTAGAATGCTAGGTGTCAAATACCACACTGAGAATACTGCCATTCGTGATTTGGTATATTATCTTCAATACTTCCCTCTTTGCATCTGCAGATATATTTAGGAAGAGATTAGTGTGATATTATGCATAAAGTTATGCACTTTTTTCCCAGTTTTATTGTGATAAAAATGAACAATAAAAATCGCATGTATTTAAGGTGTACAGCATGATGATTTGATGTATGTCTACGTTGTGAAATGATTACCACAATCAAGCTAATTAGCAGATCCCTCAGCTCACACAGTTACCATTTTGTGTATGTAATGAAAATGCTTAAGATTGACTACCTTAGTAAATTTCACGTATAGGTACCCAGAACTTATTTATATCATTGGAAATTTGTACCTTTAACCAACATCTCCCCATTTCCTTCACCCTCATAGCCTCTGGCCACCACCATTCTACTCTTTGCTTCTGTGAGTTTGACTTTTTTAGGTTCCACAAAAAGTGAGATCATGCAGTATTTATCTTTCCGTGTCTGGCTTGTTTCACCGAGTGTAATGTCCTCAAGTTCCATCCATGTTGTTGCAAATGGCAAGATGTTCTTTTATGGCTGAGTAATATTCTGTTGTATATACATAACACATGTTCTTTGCCCATTCATCCAGTGATGGACACTTTAGTTCTTCCCGTATCTTGTCTATTGTAAATAATGTTGCAATGAGTATGAAAGTGCAGATATTTCTTCAAAATCCTGCTGTCATTTCCTTTGGAAATGGAAGTGGAATTTCTGGATCATATGGTAATTCTATTTTTAATTTTTTGAGGGGTCTGCATACTCTGTTCCGTAATGGCTGTACCAATTTATAGTTCTACCAACAGTGTACATGGATTCCCTTTTCTTCACTTTCTTGCTAATACTTGTTGTTGCTTGTTTTTTTGATAATAGCCATCCTAACAGGTAACAGATATCTCACTGTAATTTTGATTTGCATTTCCCTCATAGTTAGTGACGCTGAGAACTTTTTCGTATACCTGTTGGCCACTTGTATGTCTTCTTTGGGAAACGTCTGTTCAGGTGCTTTGCCCATTTTTTACTCAGTTATTTCCTGTGTGTGTGTGTGTTTGCTATGGAGTTGTATGAGTCCCTTATATACTTTGAATATTAACCCCTTATCAGATGTATGGTTTGCAAATATTTTTTCTCATTTCATAGGCTGCCTTTTCAATATGTTGATTGTTTTCTTTGCTCATACACTCTTTTTTAATCCCTTGCTGTCATGAGCATTTTCCTATATCAGTGCACATTTCCTTCTCTGAAAGCTCTGTTCCTGAATCCATCCTCTCTCATGCCTCTTAGACTTCTTGCTGCTATTTTTCCTTCTTAGGAAACTATTTCCTCTGGACAGTTTTCTTTTACCACACTCTCTTACCACCATCACCATCTCCACCTAGATTTTTCTCCTTTCCCATGTGTATATATAGAATTAATAATCTCATGTAAAGGAAATACAGCTTCTTAGTATTGGGGTCCTTTTTAATTATTTAGTTTTTGAATCCATAATGCATTCACATGGTTCAAAATTCAAAATGTACCAAAAGGGTATACAGTGAAGAGTCTCCGTTACAACCCTGCTCCCAGCCACCCACCAGACTGTTCTCCCAGAAGGCAGCCAGTCCTGTCAGTTACTACCAGTGCTGTTAGTGACATTTTATTCATATATAATAAAGTTCATATTTGTTATCCCACTGATTTTACACAAATGGTAGCATTCTATATGCGCTGTTTTTTTAACTTGCTTTTTATCGTATATGTGCTAGTTCTTGAGAAACAACTAGAGAATGAGTAAGACTTAGGAAAGAGTAAATTCAGAGGATCAGTGAAGTCCCGGGTTGGCAGCTGTGCAGCTGGAAGGGGCCCCCCTAGACTGGAACAGTGGTGCAAGAGAGTCTTTTCCACTTAATAATACATTTTGGAGATTATTTTATATTCATACATATAGATAATCTTAATTTTTAATGCACCTACATGTTTTTGTACAAATGTTCAAAAATTCATATGATCTGTTTTTGAAAAACCATAACTAGGTTAATCCCAGTCTTTGTTATTACCAAAAAAAAGTTACAATTAATAAACCAATACATAAATTATTAGAGTTCATTTATTAAGTCTAAGGATATGTGTGTATGTAAATTTGATGAACATTCTCCAGTTGCCCTCATAGAACCTATTTCTTTGATTCACTTACGTTTAAATTGCCTCTCGGTCCAAATCTGCCCTTCTGTACTTTTCTTCATGATACTGGGGCTAAGCCTTTGGAGATTACATTTCTCCTTTGCCAGCTGGCTTACTGTTCAGTTCCACCAACGTTTAATGCTGCTGCCAGAGATGAAAAGCATCTTAAAAATATGAAAACAGGTTGAAACAAGTTATAGGAGAATGACCTGAACTTTCTTGGCATCCGTTTAATCATATCCAAGGAAAAAACAACAAGTGTTCCACTCCCAAATGTCATATTTGAAATTATGTAAATAAACCAGTTACCAGACTTGAAAATATAAATTCACTCTTTCAATAAGTATGAAAAAAAAATGTGTGGGCATGTACCTTTGAGGGATAATCTGCCATTCAGTCTCGTATTAATGAGATTCAGTGCCCAGCTTCCTACTACAGAATTCATATAGGAGAGAAAACACTTTCCCCAAGCACATTGACCTGGTGCCAAAACAAGCAGTTCTCCAATGAAGACATACAAATGGCCAATAAGCACATGAAAAAATGCTCAGTGTTGCTAATTATCAGAGAAATGCAAATCAAAACTACAATGAGGTGTCCCCTCCCACCTCCCAGTCAGAGTGGCCATCATTCAGAAGTCCACAAATATTTCTGAACAGTAGATGCAGCACCTGGGTATAGTACAGAACAAAACAGAGTTCCCTACATTCATGGAACTCACACTATGGCAAGGAATTTTAGTTATGATTTAGTGGGGAAATATGCTATTTTCCTAATTTTTGTGATTGAATATCAGACAGAAGGCAGTCAAAAATATGATTAAGAAAAATCAACCCATGAAGGGAATAATTTGTACAGCTGTACATTTGGGTTCACTCAGAGGAAAATGGTCCTTTTTCATTTCTGATTAATATTGCTCCTTTTTAATGGGGTTAGGATATAGCTCAAATGGTAGAGCACATGCTTAGCATGCATGAGGTCCTGGGCTCAATCCCCAGTACCTCCTCCAAATATAAATAAATAAGTAAACCTGATTACCTTCCCCTCATAAATACACACACACACACACACACACACACACACACACACACACATATATATCTCCTTTTTAAAGGAGAGAAGTTTTTTTTGTATCACTCAGTCTTTCCCAAATGTCATCAGACTTACAATTGTAATTAACAAAGTTAAAGCACCAAATAATTCATTTCATTATGAAAGCTAAAATGATAATAATGGGATTTACTCTGTCTCACAGTCTCCTAGAACCATAGAAGAGGAAGAGTAAACTCTTAGCTAAGATCACCAAGAAAATCTGCCTGGAAGATTCTGATCTTCATCTGTTTCTGAAACTTTCTCTTCTAAGTAGGATAGACAGAGTTGGAGGTTAAGACCAAAACCCAGTAATGTTAATCTAATTTAGTTGGCTAAAAGAACACAGATTTGGGGAGAATCTTCAGGATC